TGTTGAAACTTGAAACAGCAATTGTGGAACCTGCCTGCAACCATTACTACAGCTTTCAAAAATCCCACATCCAGACAAGGAGCACATAAATGAAATTAACCAGAAGATATATATCAAGCTGCAAATTGTAATAGGTTCTAAGAGGATGTAATGCTACATATACCCCTCAAAGAGGAACAGGATCAACAAACGAGGCAATATGGTCCTTAAACAAGTTGGACTTTGAGTAGCCCTCGCCATTCTTGTACACAACATCAATTGCGCAAGCAAAGTTGAGAACGCGTGTCAGGATAGGCATTGGAATAACTGTTGGCTTCAGAAACTCTTCATTAATCATTTTCCATGCATTTCTAATTTCTTGGAGGAAAAACTTCACTGCTTCTTCCCTTGAAACATCATGATCTCGCTCTTGCTCTGACTGCACATATATATGTATATGAAGATACATGAGTGCATGGTTTCAAGTTCATATATATGACAATTATTAGAGGCATACATATACCTGATGTGTGATAATATCATCCTATGTCTACAAATAATTTTAAAAGCTACAAGTATATTAGGGTCATTAGATAGCCAATCGAAAACTTCCTTGGATGCAACCTATCCCATGCCCACGAATGACTTTGTCACGAGTACACGGGCACAAGAAGTTATGAGAGCCATCCACATATACCCTTCAAAACGTACGTGGAATGTAACCTTCTTCCCGCCACTTGGTTTCAACCTAGTGCGGCTCGGCACCGGCACCGTAATAGTGACAAAATGTTTAGTGTCGGCGTGAGCACTTCTAAGTTCTATTTAGATCCATAGAAATAATAGAATACTTCAGAGAACTTGTATAAAAAAACTTAGCCGTTAATCCGTTTTCCCAACTCTTGTATCTACTTAGATTTCTTCCATCAACCTTTAATTCATAACCCTTTGTTTTTTTTCAATCAACCCCAATTACTAACTAAATAATTCAAAGCCGGTAAAATGGTTAATTCCAACAAAAATATATAAGGCTTCTAGAAGTTCAGCTCAATTGAATTCACAGGAATATCTTCCCTTGTCTTCGTTCCGTGTTTCTAACATTCTTTGTTTGTTGGGTTGAAGCACCAGCCTCCAATACCCTCAATTCCCATATTGGCGTCTGAACATCACCTTCTCGTTGAATCAGATGATGTTTTCTCCAACGAGGTGAACATGAAGTTCCCTGAAAACATGGCTTCTTTATCTACACATATTAACATCATAACTTTATATTAGAAATGAACGTGTCAGGAAACCTAAATAAGATCTTTCCCAAATGTCAGAAATATAACAGCACTAATATATCCCATATAAAACAATCATTATACATGAGTTATTTAGATTTATGCATAATGGGGAAAATTTAAAATCATAACCTACCAGTTAAAGACAGACAACTGACTTCCCGGTGGACATACCGTGCCATTGCCTGCAAGCAAGTACAAAGATTCAGCTATGCCATGGGCATCCAATTCAGAGAAAAAGAACATTTCTATAGACAGAGTAGATGAAAATCATTGTCTTCTACATTCATTTCTAACTGAGAGGAATTAATTGACACAATTGTTGACAAAAAATGCCTCCAGCAAGGAAGACAGAAGAGCTTTAACTTGTCATTCTTCATACTGTCTATTTCATTAGATTGTCACTGACCACCACATCACTCGTTTCTAACAAGCCTAAGGAAAATTTATGGAGTTAAAATAGATGTATGATGGGTTCCATAACAAAATGGAAACTTCGTATAATACCTTGGACGCAAAATAAACCAACAAACTAAATCTTGTATGGCCAATTACAGTTATGAAGGAAATGAAAACATGCCTGGGCAGCTCGTAATGCAGCATCATCTGGCTTTGATGCACCATCGTCAGAGAAGACATTCCTGAAAGAAGCACAAACAAATGTAAATTGGTAGGACTAGCAAATGAACTACCAAATCATCTCACTGACATTGTGGCAAATGGACAAGCAAGAAAGATCTCTTCTGTATTAAATGAGAGAGCACTGGCAAAGCAATATCATGGCAGAGTTCTGATTATTACTTACCTCCATAAAACATTTGTTAGCTCATCCTTTTTGGCTTCTGGAAGCAAGGCAGCATCATATGCAACAATATTTCCATAGAATATCCTCTCCAGTTCTTTCATCCACTTTGTCAACAGTAAGTTAACCTGCCATTGCAACAGAATAAAAATATGCCAACAACTTGTCTAATGAAAACATATCATTTATAATGTCATGCCAACCAAAGAGAGCATAAAAAAGAATCCCTATCTATAGAAATACCCCATACTTTGTAATTGAGGCAAGCAACAGTGTAAATATCAAATCAAATGCAGCCTTACCATGAAAATGGCATGCAAATTATATTTGAAAAAACAAATAGCAAAGAGCCTTAACATCTTTCTTGTGAAGAAAAATATAGATTTACTAAAAATCTTATTGATGCTTTAATCTCTTAATGACATAAATTTTTAGATTGATAGTGATTAATAGAAGCCTTAAAAATGATAGGTTAAATAATGAAAGGTGCAAGGGAAGCACACAAACCCCAGCTTTAGACACTCTCAGCTCCACATCATGATTATAGATCTCATAAAGGTATTGCCCTAATTCAACACCGTCTTTTCCCTCTTCCTTCAAGCGGCGTAAAATAAGCCACATATGAAGTACAAGCAATGAGAATGTCATTTTGAATGTCGTCTCCAAGTTAAATACTGCATTGGAAAGAGAGTAGTTTAGTTTATACATCATTCATGAATCTCAAGATACTACTGTAGGCATTAAAGAAATATTGCAAAACTTGAGGCATGTTGTTGATCTAAATTGAGAATAGGGAAGAAATAAAATAAATAAACAAAAAAGGGAAGGGGTTTTGAGGACTGACAATAGGTCTCAATTTTTATGGAATGCTTCCTAGCAACCCCAATTTAAACCACTATCCTTGATGCTCGGCTTATTCAAAGTAAAAGAACTTTTTATCCAACTGCAAACTTTGAAGTGAGGTTCCTTATGTGGGAAGAATATGCACAGGATTAATACAGCAATGGACGAACGGTTCCCCAAATGGATTTGGTCATTGGAAATTTAATAAATTGACTATGTAGCAATGAATTCCTTAAGCATAGATTTCTCAGTGCAACAACAGAAATGCAAGCATGGGGAAGGACTCACCTTCATATATTGCAGGTTTATCAACTTGTGAAATAACCCGCTTATATATCACATTTGCCCCTCGGATAGACTTGCTTTGCTTACTGTAGAACAGCATCAGCTTGAGGATAAAATACTTGATGCCCGCATACTTTGGCTCTTCAATTCTGAGTGGGGAATCTGGAGCCAAAGCCAATGAACAAGGCTTAGACCAGAACATCTTATCCAAATTGACCTGCTCCAAATTGGTACTCTGACAGTCAGCAAGATATCGAAATAGCACTTCTGAAATCACAGAAAACAGGAAACTGCAAACTCTAGAGATAGATGCAAGATGATAATCAAAAGATAGGATTACAAATATGAAATATCTCTCGAAGGGTCTAACAGACAAGTAAATTCACATGAAACATAAATTTTGAAGAAAAAGAAAATAGCTTGTAAAAACATGATCAAGCTACATTTCTGCCATTTCATGATTATCTAATTTATACAAAAGTGAAGAGAAGTAGAAAAAATATCCAAAGAAAATTAGAGAGAAAGGCAATGGAAAACTTCGTTGAAAAGGACTCACATTCAAATCCATAACCTCTTTCGTTACTAAGATACAGCATGAAAACATAAAGCTGTCAAGGAAAAACAGATGAAAAATCCCACATAAAAGGAACCCATAAAGTGGGTAGTTGAGGACACATACGGTTGATTTGGTAGGAACACCCTTGCCCGTGGAATCAGTAGCAGCCGGCGACACAGCTGCGGCAGCAACCTTGGCATAGCTTTGGCGCTGAATTCTACCAACATCTTCGCTGAACTCCATACTACTCAAAGACCTCAGCTTTGGGACATGGGGAAGGGCCCTGCTCCATCTGGGCAACATTCTGAGAATGCCTAATGGATTCAAAACAACATCAGATATAATCTTCCCATTTCCATGGAAACAAAACAGAATTAACAAAAGATAGAAATTAAATACCTAGAAATCGCAATCAGATTCAGAAATCTTCACTGTCAATCTGGTTTTTCTTCGTTGCTTCCAACTTTCTGAGGCTTAAACCCTTCAGAGTTGGAGGAATGAAATTAAACCCCTTGGAGTTGAGAGGAGGGAGGAAGAACATAGAGGGAAACAGAGGAGTTAGAAAGTAAATCGGACGGGCATCGTTTCGTGTCAACAAGTGTGCAGGATTTCTCCACGTCAGTCAGCTTTAGTATATGGGTACCGGCAAATTATCATCCAATTTGGTCCCCTAACTTTTATTAGGATTTCCATCAGGTCCTGACCATTTTTTTCACTTCAATTATTTTATGCCCTAAACCTTTTAATCATTTTCATCGCAATTCTTCTCTTTTCTTCCTTAAAATTTCAAACATTAAGTCTTTTTTGTTATCTAAAATTGAATCAAAATATAAGAAAATGCCTTCATAACTTTAATATTAAAAAATTTACATATTTAAAATTAATTTAATACAATTCAGATTGCATTGAATATTTTTCTTAAATATTTTATAAAATAAGTAAAAATATAAATACGAGTTCTCAAACACTTGCACAAAGAAAAGTGTAACCATAGATACTCTAGTTATTCGAGGTACATACTTTTTTTCTTTTTTCTTTTTTTTCTTTTTTTGTGTAATTGACTTTTGAGTAGAAATATAGTATATCTCACTGCATTTTGAAAGCCTCAATATTGACCTGAAAAACCTGCTTCACTTAAATTAGGAATTTTGCAGATGCAGAACAATTGTCCTTAATTACATGACTACATGGGCAGTGCTGGCCAAGGTATACAAAAATTGTCAGCATTTGGGTGACCTAAAACCATAGTTAAATTCAGACATACAGTTTACAAAATCTCTTGAAGAAATTCACTGACTTCTCCTCTAAGATGCAATAGCTTCACATGGGTCATTTTTCTTACGGTATCAATCATCACCTCAGTCGCAGATTAGGAATATTGGAAAAATCAGAGATATTGCCGGAGGCTTTCACCACTCATGGACTCCATTTCCTTGAGAACATCTTGTGCCATGGATTTAACAGGCAACTCCACATCTTCAAGCAATTCGCCGAGGAATGGAATGGTTTCAGGCAGCAATACCAGATATTCTTCTTTTAGATTATCCAAAAACTGCTTAACCATCCTCAAGCCTAAAATTCGAGCCCTCGTCTTCTCACTTCGAGTTTGCATTAATACCTGAAAATGTTTGCAAAAAGCAAGTAAATTAAAATAGACCATTTTGAAAACAGAACACAAAAGCAGTGGCATAAAATAAAATTTGGCAGCATGCATCCTGGAAATAATGATAAAACCGCAGATCCAATCCCCAAATAAGCTTTGAGGTTTATGTCCTAAGTAATATTGAATTGCAGGAATGCTAAGTCCGGACTTGGACATGAATTTCAAATTTGGCAATATATATAGATTGATGGCTCAAGAATTGATGAGACTGCTATTCAGAGAACATGGAAGAAGAATGAAGAAGAAAAGTAGATTTTAAAATCACCTCATGATTAAGGGGTTTCCATAGCAGGTCAGTTCCAGCAGTGGTAGCCATCTGACCAACGCAAACAACCAACAAGTCATCAACATCCTTCACTGATGGAATGTCTGGATGCTGCTCTAGCAGAGCTGGTGGTTCTACGACAAGCTGTGAGACAATGGGTTTCAATAGAACCTGCAAATAGATGGAAAGTTAGGTCAACTTAAGGAATCAACAAACAGGGCAATTCCAACAAGAAATTAACCATATAATTAAATAGCTATAATAGAACTAGTTAAGATGAAATCCATGCAGTAGAAAATTTTACAAGGGTAAAGATTAACTAGCCTCAAAATTTGATGAGTCAAGAAACTTTAGGCTCCCAGTATCATAAAGGAAACATTTATGTAGAGATGACAATATCAATGCCCTGAGATGCCAGCTTTTAAGTGACAGCACATTGTTTCCAACATTTTCAGTTTCCTGAATCTTGGCCTTCTTTTTCTTTCGACTTAAATTCAAAGTACTAACATCTCCAGTGTCAGTAAGGAGCTGTACACAACCCTTCACCAAATACTTAAAATAAGGGACAAACAGAGACCTGCAATACATGATAGTAGCGTTGAAATAAGTTCTAAGAAAAAAAAACAAGAAAAAAATAAAACCACACATAAACAATGGACTATCTAAGAAGCCAAAACTTTACTAATGCAGCCTATCAATCCCTGGGTAGGTCAGTAGGGTCAAAAAGCTCTATTTGTGAGACGAAGTAGCTCTACCAACAAATTTATCAATTTAACAAAAGCGTGTGATCCCTACAAGAACTAGACAGAGGAGAGAAGCGAGGGAGGTCAAAAGCAGACTGCTTAGAAAAACCTGAAAAGCTAACGCCTTTATCATAATTTGCATGGAATATTTAACTGGAATTGACTGACCTATGGTTCTCAGCAAGTTTATTAACCAGGCCATATAACGATATAGCTCTGTCAATGTTTGTACTGCCCATACCACCATTGTCCTCAACCTCTGTCTCTACCCATTCAATACTCTTGAAGAAAAGAGGTTTAAACATAGTCTCGGTAAGCTTCATTGTCAGAGCAATTATTGCATCAATTATGCTCTTCTCTACAACATTGATATTCTCTATTGAAACAGGGCATTGATTGCGCAGATCAAGTGCAAGCAAGCACTGGTCAAAAATCTTCCTGTAGGAACTGCTAACAGATGCCCTATCCAATTTATTAACCAAGTTAGCTAGCATTTCAAAAGCAATCATCAAGCTTGAATCTCCAGAATCAACAGCACCAGAATAAATCTTCAGCAAAGGCTGCAGAGCAAGACGCACCTGGACAAAAGAAATCAGGATTAATATTAACAAGGAATGACTAACTGCACATCCAAATAAA